GATGTGAAAGCCTCGCAACCCGTTGGGAGCCGGTGACCAAATAAATGGTTCGTGCGTCTTTCGGTCCGTGAAGGACCAGGGGCCCAATGCACCCTTGAAGTACAATGCTTCTCAGGGAGGGGCAAGGGGCAGTGACTTTATTTAGTGGCGAGTCACATCCGCCACGTCGCAGTGTTGTTAAGCAGACATATGTGGCTTTTTATAGAGAACGCTTGCCGGGCGAAAACCCACCACATACTGGAACACTGCCTCCAGACGATTTTCTGGAGCGGGAAAAGCCTGAACCACCCAGCTGGCACAACGAGGTTGTTCGGCAAGCCAGCCAGGATCATCCCTGCTCGACAGCGAACCCAATAGCCCAGGCCAGAGTAATGGATATTCAGTGCAGAGCCAAACGCTCCTAGCGTTGAAACAGGTTGTGGATAGGTAGTCTTCTCCGTTATATAGTCAGTATCAGGCGAAATAATTGACAATGGTTACCAAAGACGGCGGTTGTTTCACGGCCTCTTATCAGGCTAGGAGGAAGTTTAATCCAGAGCTGTTTGTGATTTTCGTGTTCGCTTCCAGCCGGAATCGAGGAGTTCCAGAGACCCAATGTTGTCACATGAAGACATAACTTTAATAGAGACGCAAGCAGAGCTGAATTTGGGAATCGAGTGAGAATTGATCAGCCAGCAAATACCAGCCCGCGTCAAAGGAATCGAACTATTTCGTCAATATGATTAACCCGTGGAGTGGAACTCACTCACACTGGCTGAAAACCAGACGAGGAATAGTGAGCGACCTTGATCTCCTAAATTAACATGTTTCGGTTACCAATAAATAGTTAACCTATCCTGTAGAGAGATATACTCTCTGTCTGCCGAGTTCTGGTCTTTTGTATTCCTTCGGTTGGCTGGGCGCGTGACTGAGAAGTCAGACAGTCGCAGTCTCATAAGGCAGCTAGCAGCAGTACAACAGTTGTCAGTGGCAGAGAGCAGAGGGAAAGAAGAAGCGTTACAACAAACTTCTTACTCAGCTCGGATACCCGCGTAGTTTGATATGCAAATGTCTATATGCTCACATCACCGTCGCAGGCGTCTGCCGAAGCGAACTCGGAAATCTGCGCAAACTAGTACATGATCTGAGTTCACGCTCGTGCTCCAAATCGAGCGAGTTTTGGACATACCCTCTTCTGCAGTAACTTATCGCGATGTGACCGATTTGCACCCATAGGTGATCCGAGGCTGGTGAGCGCCATGTCACTCTCCGGCAAGTGCTGTGTCGGTAGTGCTCGCGATAAACAGACGAGCATCTTCACAGAGGTGTAGCAACCAATCACCGTTATTGTTACGGAAGCCTACACCGTTTTCGCCGTCCAAATGCAGCTCATCAGTGGACAGTTTTCCCACCTGGGTGTTCAGATCACCAGCAAGGATAACAGTATCCCTACTTTTCTTAAAATCAATGAGTTCATTCAGTTGGTGATAGAAATCATATTTGATCGAGTCAGTGACACAATTTATGGGGGCGTAGGTCAAAATCCTAACCAGGTACGGTATGTCTGCGCGCGACTTCGAAGCTGTGAACGAGCCAGCCAATCTGACGGCGCACACCCGGCTACTGATTGGCAATGAGTCGACCAGAACAGCTTCAGTCCGGGAGCTCAGAACAATACTTACACTGGCTTGACCGGCATTAAAACCTGCAAGATCTTCGGAGAGAGGCAGTAAGAAAGTGTTGCCAGTATCACGTGAAAGGGAACGTAGAGTGAGCACAGAACTCAAGTCTTGCAGGCGGGTTTCCGAGAAGCAACAGATGCCGACTGATGGGGTGTTTAACGTTCGGGCAAGTGCTGCCTTTTGACCGATTAGCAACATAGTACGCGCGTTGAGGCATACCAGCATTAGCTAGCATCGAAGGCTCTAAATAGTGGCGGATAAACTGAGCTGGTCCACTTAGTTGGTCATAGACCTGTCGGCAGGGCAGAAGTGACGCTTTGCGATTTTGTGTGGGTCGAAACTAGTGGATAAAGGTCATCAAAGCAAGGTGGTGCGCCAAGAATATTGGGATTGAAAACAGGGGGATAAACGTGAAGTTGGGAGGGGACGGTAAAGATTAAAAAGTGCCGGACGGGGAACAAGAAAACGGAAAGGTCTGAGCAGCAGCACCCTCATCCCTATACCTCCTGCTCGATTCAGTAGATAGGGCGCCAATGGTCATTCGCTGCGATCGTCAACGCAACTGGAAATTGTTTGAGGATTGACTCATGTTACTTCGTGAGCAGAATACTGTCAGGTTGCCCATGCCTAGATATGAGAACAAATAGGGTTCTCAAGTAAAGCCCTTAGTTTAAAAATCTAACCACAAAGCAGCGAAGGTTTGATAGTGGGCCATACAGATTCTGTTATAAGGAGTAAGAAGCCACCCTCACTTCAACTCACAATCTGGAGAATCAAGAGACTGACTTTGTCTGGTATGATCGGTTCTGAAGGCGCAAGTGGCCCCATTTAACACAGCTCGATGTATCACTAGACAAGCAAACCATCGCATCACGATAAGGTCCAGTGAATTCTGGCTGCATGACCCCTGTTTGTGACGATCAAAAGGTGAACAGCTGGGAAATGCGGTACCGACGGACGGTCACAAAGTTGTCACCTGACATGCAAAATTTAGCACATCAACTGCTGCAACAGCATTGCCTGTAGACAATGAACTAAGTGAAAACAAAACGACAGTTGTGAGATACATGTGTACGTATTATATTGCAGTGTGATTAGGTTAACTATTCTTGGGGCCCTAGAGGTTGATAAACAGCGCCAATAAGGCACAATTATGCACAAGTCAAATTAGGCCATCGTCCAACATCTTAGACTTCACAATCCACACTCGGTTCAGCATAATGCCGGTGGACAATAATTTCATCTTGATGCTTTCATTAATCGCCTTGCTCTTTTACCATAACCACATTGAGCTACAAACGCTGGGCTGAAATTCTGATACAATGGCGTATCATATGGGAGGAATAAAATAAGTGCAGTGCTACACGGTCCCAAGGAGTTCAATGTTGGATACTGTTCGCAGGGCGCCGCGTGAATCAACACTCATTATGTATGAAAAGGGTGCAGAATGGATGGATAACGATCGGAATGCACCACCAGCAAATGCCGTTTTTCATCGCTGGCACTTACGGAGTATTGCTCACATCTGGTACGAACACTGGGAAAACAATGCTGAGGTCTGACAGCTGATTTTTAGTAAGAAACCCTCTAGTGCCTCACTCGAATGTTTTCATGAAGCTCAACGACCTATGTTGGCCAGGTAATGTCCTCCGTATGCCTGTCGACCACTTTTCTTACCGTACATTATACACCGTCGCGGTACCAAGTTGGGCAAAACCGTGAGATGGCCAGTCGAGGACGTGGCACAAAGAAAACAACTGAGAGACACAGCAATGCTGGTAGTGCAATGGTGGGGGCCTCAAGATGGTCTACATCAGTAATTGCAGACTATGCCAGAGAGGACACGGTTGCGTTTCTGCATTCGGTTTATGCACTTAGCTGTTAACTTTTACTCTATCCCGAGTAGTTTTAAGTACATTTTTCTTGGGTTCTTCTCGCTGTTTTCTGTTCGCGTTCCTCATTCGCATACCGCTGTTATTTATTGTCGTCCTGGCAAGGCAAGCCGTAGCAACCGGTTCCACCACATTTCGGTGCCCCGATCATAGTTGTTTAACTGGACTGAACTGAAATGCCGCGCAATATGAATAACCTAAGTGGCCTCAATTTGAATCAAAATAAGATAACAAGACCTACCCACGTGTTTATTTGTTTTGCGAAAGGGATGAATTCCAAGTTGCAAACAGAGCACATCAGATAAATTAGCGCTGATAGTAGAAGTGAACGAACTGCAAACGATTGAGGCGCAAACCAATAACGCAACAAAGGAAACGGCGCGCTTCGAGTCACGCCTAAGTTCTCAATGGTGCAATCACATTGTAATCGATCATTTTAACAGAGTAAGAACAACGAACATTTCTGTGGAATATGCTGAATTCAGTGTATTTCGTGTATTCTCTATAGCCGCTTATATACAATGGGTGAAAATTTCATACGATTAGGAGTAACAGGTCAATACCAGAAATCGATGGTTAGTTGCGTTGGCTAGCCTGTTTTGCCTCACCAAAACAAAGCAAGATGGGTCACAAACTCAAGTTGTTTACATAGGTTAGGCTTCAACTGCCGGATGGCGGAAGCCTCAGCAAAACACAACAACTTGGGGGTGCTCTGTCTGTTGGTGACCTTGAATGCTTAGTGGGGATTCTGGCACATCGAGCAGTCGAATAAGTGCCGGACAACGGAGCTGGCAGGTAATGTTGCGCCACGGAGAGTAAGGTTTCGCGGGACGTGTCCTGAAATCCGAGTGGACAACTTCCTCTCTATCCGGCCAATGTACATGCTACCGCAAGTAATCGATCAGATGACTAGCGAAAAGGAGAAAATGCGCCAATGATCTCATGGAGTTGAGGCTCAGAGAGACGCTTGTTCCTAGCTGACTTGTTATCACTGACCCACATTACCAAAACAGTGAGGGCATTAGTATATGAATAGTATTGAATCAGTTAAAACGGCAACCATGAAAAAATTTAGCAGACGACTTTCGTGGTGTTTCTCGAGATAATGTGAGGAAGCGAGTGTCCTTCATTATCCGACCACCATCGAAGTATTTAGAAAGAACATCTTCAAAGTGACAAATAGTGAGCTACGATAGGCGGTTGCCAAGTGAATACACAGAAAAGAATTGCGCTGAGATATGTATGCAACTATCTGTATGTTTGCATTAACGACAAACTGGTAGGAGTAACATGTTTCCACTCATATACAAAGCTGCATGCAGCTTGCAGGAAAACGATGTCGGTGACGCACGCAGTCTGTGCAGATTAGTCACAAAAGAAACGGATCTACAAAACCAGACAATGTTCGCATAAGTGTCACTTTTTAGATATGCATCGAACTACTTACCAGGGTGGGGACGGCGGAATGGACCATCGGGAGTGTGAAGCACTCCAAAGAGAACGAAAACTAGAAAGACAGCACACAGCCCCCTGGGGAAACAGGAAAGTAGAGAATGGCAAACTTACCGTTTCAGGTTGTATTCGGAAGAGAAGGTATCCGTTTCAAGCACAGCAACGTAGAACAAAAAGCAAGAGAACACGAAAAGGCACAGACAAGTGTGTGCATTCCTGCTGAATGAATGAAGAATCCGATGAGTTACCAGAAGAATGTCATTGTTCCATCGTCAAAGAAGTCCTTGGCTCGATTCTTTTCTTCCTCCCAATCATGGGCTGTGGATCTACCCGTTCCACTCAGCGGCGTTACCGCAACCCCATTACCCCATCTGGAAGCAGTGGTCAATACACCTACATCTGTCATTGGTGATGACCGGTGGATGAACAGGCATCAACAGCGCGAGGTAAATCCTAAAAGTGAGTGCGGCATATACAAAAGCCGTTTAAAAGCACCAGCGATAGCGCGCTTACCAATATTAATGGTATAGGAATCATACCAAGTCACTAAGTTTCAAATATACCCACGGAGTGATCTTAACCTTGAAAATGAAAACTATCGCAGCACTCACAGAGCACAGCATGCGAACAGCATGAAGCTGGGCACCGAAACGAAGAAGCACACGTACACATTCTCCTCAGCAACACAGACCAGGACAAGCACATTATCATATGCAGCAGAAAGAGTAAGATTAAGTGTTAGCATATAAATCTTAATGGACAATGCGATAAAGGACCAACAATATTATTGAAACCAAGGGAGATCCAGATAAACAGACAGATGTGCGTTGTCAGACAGATAAGCTCCTTCAAAGATTAGAAACAACGCAAGACCACTAAAGTACTGTAGATTATGATTGCCTACAGAACCATATACTGTAGCGCAGGCACGATAAAAGTTGACTTCAATCACCAACTGAACCAGATCACTTGTCAAAGAAAAGGTAAGGATACTGTAGTGCTTTCTGGTGATTTAAGCGCCGAAGTTAGAAAACCTCCCACTGATGAGTTGCATTTTGGCGGCTAAAACGGTGTAGGCACCTGTAATGAGAACGGTGAGCGGTTGCTACACATGTGAAGATGCTAATCTATTCCTCTCGAGCACTAACATCCGACACAGCACCCGCAAAAGAGTGACATGGCACCCACTAGCCTCGGACCGGCCATGGACGCAAATCAACCACACTGCACTCAGTTACCGCAGAAGAGGCTGTGTCCAAAACTTTCGCTCGGTTTAGAGCAGCAGCACCAACTCTGACCACGCACATGTATGCACCGACCAGTTTGTGCGTTTCGGTGGACGTCTGCAACGAAGCTGTCAACGCCTAGATACTTGCCCGTTGTGCTGAATACACATCAAAGTAGCTAACAAGCAGGTTGGTCAAACGACAACTGAATATGGCTGAAGATCACTGGTCGCATATACGCCAGATTGCATTAGCAGCAGGCATGTCTTCATGTTTTAAATCAAACTGTCAACCTGGACATTTGGTCATGAACTCCTGGATGCTCGTCGACGCGTTTCAGCTGAAAGCGAGCATGAGACCTCGAAGCCTGGTGGCCACATCATGCTTCGGAAATGTAAATGACCGCTGCTTCTGGTAGCCAACAGAGGTCACTCCGTCTGATGCGCGAAACGGGCAACAAGAGACTTGGTGTCAGCGAGACTATGTGCGATGAGATTGGATAGCCAATCCCCAGCTCGTCAAGGAGCTTGGAACGTTGGGCGGAAAGCTTTGAAAACGGTTTATTCAACCAGTTGCCATTTTAGTTAATGGCCAATGACCGCCATTCTCTGTCCACTTGGATCGAAGCGCACGCGCAGTAGCCGAGCGTGAGATCAGACGGTCGAAATGGAATAAGGCCGCAGGAGCAGATGTACTTCATACATCAATCTTCAACCTTGAAGGACCAGCTCTTGTGCGTGATTTGGCACCTTACGGGTGAAGTTGTGGGATTAGGAGACTGTCACAGCAGACTGGAGCCGCTCCGTCAGTCCCAATTTCCAAGAGGGGCGCATGCTCATTATACAGCAACTACAGAGGGATCAGTCTGATTTCACTGCCTTTGCCGTTCTCCGTAAACTGATTGGCACTCGGGAAAGCCACATTCGAAGCAGCAAGCCAGATTTAGTCTAAGTCGCGGATAGATTGATCACACCTTCACACTACGTCAAGTCTTGTAACATCGATATATCTAGCGGCGAGTCACCGTGGTCATGTTCCTCGATAGCAAAAATGCCTGCGATTCAGCAGATCGATGTGCCCTTGGGGTTATCTCTTTAGAAACGTTACGCCCGTTAAATAAATAGGTTTATACATAAGAACGCTGTACGCGTCTAGTTTCAAGTGAGTGAGGGCTCATGGAAACTGTTGTCACCCTTCAATATCTTTAATGGTGTGAGGTAAGGATGCTCGTTGTCCCGTTCATTTTTAACTTCGAAATTGACGGAGCCATGGAGGCGGCGATCACCGGAAACGACCTACAAGGAGTGGAGCTGCTTCCAGGTGATATACACCACCCTCACCTATGACAACTCTCAAGCAGCTCTTGACAGATTTTCACTGGCTGTTATTCGTTTTGGACTATGCTCTGCACCATCGGAATGCAAATGCCTTATATTACTGGGTATAAACAGGAATTTTGGACAAGTTTCCATGCCTACAGTGGGAGTGGGGGTCCGCTCATATAAAGGCTATGCGCAATACGAAAAAATCGCATGCACTGCACACCTATACCCCTATCTTACCTTAGCACCACTCGTTAGTGACAGTCGGTATCCCAGGCGGGGATTTGAAGTGCCTATAGACAGACACATTGGGTTTGTGTCGAAAATTATCGGTATATTGCACATTTGACTTTCACGACGGATGGTGGGTACGTAGACACGTGTCGAATCGGTTCATAAGACGATTGCACTACCCGGTTTTTATGGATGGAATTCCGGACTTTTTAACAGTGTCAACATCCTGATCCGAATGACATTATTTCATAACCCACTGCGCTAACTTTTCATCCCGTGCAGGAAATTTGGTTGTTCTACCGCGTGCTGCTCTCTTGCATATAGCCATTAGTGACAATTCTGACTTTTTCTTCCGCCATTCTCTCACTTGCTTACATTCACCATGAAATGGCATGCAGGCATACAATTATTAGATTGGTCGGAAAAAGCGATAACTTTCAAATTAAAACTAGCAGCACATGTATATCGCTTCAGTCCGGACATTTTAATGTTTCCACGGCATTGGAAGATCGCATGAAATGTGGTCACATTCCCTCTCAGCTGCATCGCGTGATGTCGCGTTAGCGCTATTTTGGTTACAGAATCACGGCGTTTATATATTATGCCATACTAGTCAATCTGGAGGATTGGGTGCAACATCGTCCCATACCAATGATCGCGAAATTCTTTCTCACACGCTGCTCCACTGCGATTCAGATGCATGAGGCACGCGACTATGCGAGGTGGTGTCTGACATATCCTATCACCTTACCCCATATTGTCGGCTGTCTTACCTGTTTCGTGTGACTTGACATCCAAGCAATACACCGTCCAGTGCGGTTAAAATCTTTGTTCTGACGGCTCCAAGCCCCAGGAACTGCGATCAAAACACATTAGGTAGCCAGAACTGACCAGTGGTAGAGCAGCTTTCGCCTGAGCACACTCAAGTGAGAGCAGGTAGTGATGAAGTCAAAATCGTGAGAAACAATTTCGTTTCCCTTTTTGGCAATATACAGCTCATCGCTGCCGGAAACACTGCGTGAGCGATGAGCACATTAGGCATCGTGTATTACGTGCACCAAGAGCGAGTAAACCGTTCAGCTCCGTTATATCACTCACCAGGATCAGATGGCCGAGATAGGTGTTTCGCATACCAGCATACTGACTCCCGCAACGTGCATTGTTAGCACGACCGAATTGTGTGGATGGAAAAAGAAGAGGGAAGTCAAGGCGATGAGTTGGTCAAAAGGAATGAAGGCTCTTACTTCGAAATTGGTATCGGTTGGTATCGCCCAAATGCCGGAAGTGCATATCATCAGATTGCTATAATGGCACGCGAAAGGAATTCACTGCACTTTAAACCTGCGGAAATCTCTCATATCCATCGTGAACCTTTAGGTGCAGCCAAAGGCTTTACCTATTTTCAAAGGGCCACCGACAAAATAAGAGCGGACCAGAATTTGAACGCCGCATACGTCTATGTCAATAATATATTCGCGTGCGGCGCAGTCGAGGAACTGCACAAATCTAATCGAGGGAAGTTTTACGAAGTCGCTTTAAGACACAATTTCATCATGATCATTACACACGCAGTCTGGAGGTGATAAACACCGCAGCCACTGTACTGCGTAAAACGATGTAACACTCAACGAAAGCAGACACCATACGTTCGAGGAAGATGGGACTATAAGGGTACGAAATTTGAAGCGAGGTTTATAGACGAGACCCAGACCGACTTCAACCTTCAAAATGCATGCGAATGACCTCAAATCACAATAGCATGCTGTGTGACTTTTGCATACTATTCCTAATGGATCACAATTTTCTGACAAAAGCCGCCCGCGAATCGACAAGCGCGGCTTCTTACACCCCACTTTGATTGTGGGACCGTCCGAAAAAATCAATGGAAAATTAGAATGTGATTGTCTCTGTTGATGACTCTTAGTACTTGAAGCCGATGCACTTGATATCGCCATTGCCGCCAAACTAACAGAACGAACGACCAATTGCTTTGCACAAAGGTTTTTTTGTCAGTGAACGACGCTATTCTGCTGTTGAAGAGGCCCGTGCTATTGCTGAGTCAATCCGCAAATGGCGGTATTACATAGCAGGCAAGCGCTCCAGTATTATTACTAAACAGCGATCTGTCTCAACTATGTTTAATCTCGATCAGAATGGTGCGATCGAAAATGAAAAAATCCATTGCTGACACGCGGAACACCCACGTGTATCACTTATGATGGTTTACCAAAGTGGAAGTGATAAAGTGACTGCAGACGCTTCATTGCACACACGTGGCTCATCATAATCACATACCATGATACCACAGGAAGTACATGACAACTTGTGCTATCCAGTTACTAGAATGTTTCACCTAGTTCGTTCAGCCGAGGAGATAAAGGCAATGACCGCCCGTAGCAAAACTCGCGACGAGATGAAACCACGATTTTGTACATCTGCAGGAACGCTGATCAAGGTGGGTAGCTGAGAGCCGGGACACCAACGACGCCCGCGCCACCTGAAAAATATTAGATGGGAGATGATTAAGACCGTTGAGAGCGCGACACACGATGTTACTTACGCCGATGCTCAGAAAAGAACAAAGCTACCACGCTTTTGCGCTAATTAGTTTCTGACGTGTACCG